GCAGCTTGGCTAACGGGTAACCCTCCTTTCCTGGGTAACCCGCCTTCCTGGACAACTGCTATCGACGAAGGACGCAATGTTTGCCCCCTCGAGACTTATCGTCAGATATCTCAAATGGTGGAAAGAATTTGGGAATGTAGTCGACGGACCAAATATACTGTACGAATACAGTCAGAATTTTTATAGAACGTAGAGAGCGGTAAGTACACTTCCAATTATTCTATTGTCTGTAACGACAATGCCACATTCATTTTAAAGAAGTAGCCTAAGTTAATTTAACCAAAGGCATAGGAATAGAACAAAGCTTTTATTCATACATGTCCGAGCCTACATCGGTTAAGACAACAAGCTAACTTGCTTTATTTAAACCTTGGACGTATGATGCGAAAAATAGTTAATGAAATTAGACCGTTCGTCAATGTTCTGATAGGAATGGAAGTAAAACCATTCTTTTGTGGAAAAAGGCGTTTTCTATTGCGTGTTTAGAGTAAATCTATTTAATTGCTTAAGCCATAAATATAACAGCGCCGCTGTATGTAATGACTAGAAATGTGCTAGTAGCACCCTCGCTTACATGGCCACTTACTGCAGAATAATTACATGAAGATTCCACAAAAACAGGCAACAGAATGAAGTACCTTAACAAGTTAAACTCTCATGACATCAAAAAGTATGAGCCACGGATTAATAATGTAGATGTTTGAGTTCATCTCAGTGTTAAAGCTAACCAAATGCAGCCAATATATTACTGGCAAACGTTAGGACTGCGAGATACGCGTATTTCTGGCTTATTAGCCGTCGTCAGTCGCAGTTACCTGACTCTAGTATAGCCTCAGAAACTGCCGCTACACTCGACTTTCGAAACCGCGACCAGTGAGCTAGAGACGAACGTCCTATTCACTGAGCCACCGGGTCGATGTCTTAACGGTTGTCGATCGGGATGCAGATTAGTACATAGGTGTACTCCGATCAGGTCCAGGATTCACCAACCCTGGCTGCTCCGTCTGGCCAGGATAGGACGTTCATCTCTAGCTCACTGGTCGCGGATTCGAAACAAGAGTGTAGCGGCAGTTTCTTTCGCTATACCAGAACCAGGTAACTGCGACTGACGACGGCTAATGAGCCAGAAATATGTGACTCTCGCAGTCCTAACGTTTGTTAGTAACATATTGGTTACTTAAAGTTAGCGAGTAACATAATTTTTTCGTCCTTGGGAATTTTGCAGTGTCAACACCTTGCCAGACGAAGCAGCCAGGGTTGGTGAATCCTGGATCAGATTGGAGTACACCTATGTATTAGTAACCAAATGCATTTGAGCTCCCCTGGCCCCTGTTATTCCAAGAGGCAGCTCAAAGTCCCTTGACTTCATTTCCGCTAATAGAACTGAACTAAAACGAACTGAATAAATTCATGGTACATCATGAATTACTTACTCACCAAACGTCGGTTTTGATAGTGACTGCTGAGGGCTCGAATATCAATGATTATGTTACTCATTCATGGATGTTACTCAAACATGTCTGCTGTTCTCTCCTGTCAGACTCTAGTCAATCCGATCCACTTACGTATCAGTGGCCCCCCAGCAAATCTCCCATCAGTAGAATTAGAGTAGAATCTCCAACAGCACGTCCTGCGAGTTTTAAGGAAGATGTAAGTAATAGTCTGCAGGAAGATCCCCCAATCACTAAGGAAGCCAGATTTAACCCTAGCACGTCTTAATGTACAACTAGCCGCAACTCATCAGTTATCCGGAGCATACCGGTTTCGTCTAGACACAATGATGAAAGCTGTGGAACAGTTAATGCCGAAGGCGACAGATGTGCGAGTTCAAATACTGCGGAAGTAATTGACACCTGGACAGGCAATCGAAGTCCTGATTGGGACAAAAACCCAACAGGACAAAAAGAGTGCACACCTGGAGTAGACAGCGAAAGAACCAATTCAGGCACCACAGCGAAACGGGATCAGTGCGTTGTTTCAGTGATTCGGTATGACGACGAAGAACGTTATACTCTGGTAGGCAATGTAGACCCTACCTGGGTCAGATGAGATGGGATGCAGAGTGCAGACCAATTCTCAATCTCAGCAGAGATGAACACCCTGCAGGACAATTGCTGCACCTTGCCAAGTAAGGAAAGCGCCCACACCTCAAAGTCAAGATCCTGCAGCTTGGAGCTGATCCAAGGATCATCACCATCAGGCATTTCTACATTACCATCGACTCCCATGCACCGGCTATTGCCGATGGCAGGACAACCACCCCCCGTATTGGTGCCTTCGGCACCCTCAACATCCTCGTGTTCGTTGGATGAGAGGGAATCGGTTACA